CTCCGCCGACCGTTTCGCGCGCTTCCCTGCGTTCAAACGCCCCCGCGCCTCCCGCGCCTCCCGCGCCTCCCGCCGCCGCGCGCACAGTGCCCCGGCAGGCTTGTCCTCCCGGGCCGCCGACACAGCGCGCAGAAATAGCGCGGCCTTCCTGGCAACGGGCCCGGAGCGCGCAGGGAAGGGCAGCGTTCGCCCGAGGGCAGGGGGCGCGTCTGGTGGGGCAGAGGTGCCCCCGAGGAGTTAGGGCGCTAGGGCCAGATCACCCAGCCAACCGAAAATTTAGCCCCCGGCAGAAGGGGAAAGGAGGCTCCACTGCCCCCAGGTCTCGCCCCTACCTGGGCGCTTTCCCACCTCCCCCGGGCCTCGTTGACCTCCGTAATTCCCAGCCTTGCTTTCCTGCCCAAGCCCCAGGGGACCCCACTGGAGACCCAGCGATTCTTACCTGCGGACGGCGGGGGATGGCAGAGGCCTGGCGTTTGTATTGTTGGCCGCGATGGGGGAATAAGGTGACCCACCTGCCTCAGACAGCTTGCTTGACTGCCTTGTTTTGTCCCCACCCACCGGCCTTGCTGACATCCCAGGGCGAGTGTTAGCATCTCTGAGAGCACCCCCTGCCACCCCACTTTGAGAGCTGAGACTCAGACCCTGCGGTGAACCGCTCCCCAGGAAGCGCACCAAGCTCTGAACGCAGTTGGGGTCTGAAACAAAATGCGTCCGTAGCTGGGAGTCGGAGGCCGCGTGGGTTACACATACCTCCGCTGGTTCCCGCGACTCCACTTCCCGTCACCCCAATTCGGTGGGTTCGTTCTGGTTTGTGGACATCTTCTGGGGGTGCAGAGGCACCTGAGACCGCATTACTGATGACACCAGCCCTGGTTTGGAGCTGCTGGTGAGGAGAGGAGAGCCGTCAAGCGCAGAATGGACACGCACATCTTTCTAGCTCCCAACTGAGGAGACAGAAGCAATGGAAAAGGAGTCAAGGGGAAGGAAATGAAACGAAATGATACCATTTACGGATTAAAAAATATGGTTTCATAAAAATACTCTTCTTTACCACCTAATTTTCACAAGCTATGAGTGGTGCAAACAGTTAACGCACTAGGTTGCTAACCGAGAGGTTGGAGGTTTCAGTTTACCCAGAGGCACCTCGGAAGAAAGGCCTGGTGACTTACTTCCCAAAAATCAACCATTGAAAAGCCTATGGAGCACAGTTCTACTCTGGCATGCACGGGGTTTCCATGAATTGGAATTGACTTGACGGCAACTGGTTTATGATAAAATATGTGATTTTATTGGTACCAAAACATGTGAGAAGACAATATCTATAGAAGGAAAAGTAAGACCTGGATCCATAGCCAGCCCATCTTTGAAATTCTCACGGTGGCAGCAGAGTCACCTGTGTTCCAGAGTGGGCCCAAGGACTGGAATTGGGATGTCAGGGCTGAAAACGGCCTAGTGGGTTATTCCCCACAGATGAGGAAACCAAGGCCCAGGACACTTGAGACTTGCCAAGGTGGAGTCTAGGTCCAGGCTCCCTGGCTTCAAGACCAATGGTATTTATACCAAGCACAAGCTCTCTCCCTCACTCCACACCCCACCCAAAACACAATTTCAATTTAATAGAGAGTACAGATGTGAGCAATCTGAATTCAGTTGCAAAAGACAGAACTCCAGCTCAAATTAACTTGGACAAAAATGGACATTTATTCACTGACGTAATTGAAAATTTCAGGATTAGAGCTCTCTTCAGGCATGGCTGAATCCAGGAGCCTGAAAGACGTCTTTAGGACAGGTCTGTCTCCATCTCTCTTCTGTTTTCCTCCATGGCAGTTCTTCTTCCTACTGGCACCCTTGGACGGACATCTTTGGTTTAGATCCTAGAAGAAAAAAAGTGCATTTCTTTTCTAATAACTGCACCAAAAGCCTGGAGCACTGTCCAGCCCATCCCTGAACCAGCATTCATGTCCAGAATGATGATACCCCCTGATTGACATGGCCCAGGGGCTCAGACTGGGGAGAGGTGGCTCCCCAAAGAAGAATCAGAGATCAGCTACCAAAAGGACAAGTGATACTGGGTATACAAAAATAACAAATGACAGCATCATTTATAATGATGCCATTTCAGTTAACGGGAGACCTGGGAAAACGGAATTTTGTGTTTTGGGAGTGACATTCTTAGCCGTTTTCAAGGTGGTTTCTTCCTTCTCTTTCCTCTTCGCCTCAGACAGAGCGTAGGCTGAGCCTCAGCCCAACGTGGGGTTTTGATTAGTAGCCTGAGAATGGAGCAGGGCATTTGGAAAGGGTTAGAGCACATAGGAGCGGCTAGTGATGGCTTAGGGGTAGAATCTTCGCCTTCCATGCGGGAGACCAGGGTTCGATTCCTGGCCAAGGTACCTAAAGCACAGCTACCACCCATCTGTCAGTGGAGACTTACAGGTTGCTGTGATGCTGAACAGATTTCAGCAGAGCTTCCATATTAAGACAGATTAGAAAGAAAGGCCTGGTAATCCACTTCCAAAAGGCAGCCTATGAAAACGCTATGAATCACATTGGTCCGACCCTGCTGAGCATCGGCTCATGGTGAATTGGGAGATGCCTGAGTCGGGGCCTACTGAATGGCGGCTAACAATAAAGACCAGACTGCAACCCTCTTTTGTTTCCAATACATCCGTTCTGGCCCCCACAAATGATCTTGAGGAAAGAGTCTTCTTTGCGCCACCTGCATCTGCCCCCAGTCACGCCTGCGTTTAAGAATTTAAAAAAAAAAAACCCAAACCCGTTTCCGTCAAGTAGATTCCAACCCATAGTGACCCTATAGGACAGAGTAGAACTGGCCCATAGGGTTTCGAAGGAGCGGCTGGTGGATTTGAACTACTGACATTTTGGTTAGCAGTCAAGCTCTTAACCACTGCACCACCAGGGCTCCATTTGAAGAATAGTGGGAGGGAAATATATTAGTAAGACATCTGACATGTTTTCTTCCTGCGGTACTAATTACTGCCAGCACCTTCAGTGGTTATGATTGGATCCCCCACATTTTGTGCCCCCCATGATGGGGTTTAGCAGTAAAGGGTTGTCTGTCGTCCGGGAGAAAAAGCAGCTTTACTAGAGATTAATAGAGCCTTCTAGCACGGAGCCGTTAAATGGAAACGCATCATAATTGAATGGCAATCACTCACTCTACATTCTAATTTCACTCACCAGGTGATAAGTTGATTTTAGCTTTGATAATTTAACTTCTAGCACATAAAAATGTCATTCAGCCGAGTTAACTAGTAACATTCCTTCAAATATGGATTTCAATTGAAAGACACTGGAATTATGAAAAGGAATGTGTTTGTCACCATATGAGACAAACGAGGCCCACTTGGAGCCTATTTCTACACGGACTTGACATCATGGCTAAAGGCCTGGGCTGCGTTACTAGGATGGGTGGTGCCACTCATTTCTACACCACGTTCTAACCTTGTGGCAACAGCCATCTTGTCATTTCTCAAGCTTGCCACCTCTAAAATGTACAGGGTCAGCTAAAAAGAGGGAGACCCTCAAGGAGATGGACTGACACAGTGGCCGCAGCAATGGACTCAAGCATAACAACGATCGTGAGGATGGCGCAGGACCTGGTGGTGTTTCGTTCTGTTGTACGTGGGGTGTGTATCAGTCGGAATCAACTTGACGGCAGCTGACAACAACAACCGCCTCTAAAGTGAATCTAACCCGTGTGATGGTTGTAAGGATTGAATGAAATAATACATATAAAGTGTTGGCACATTTCCTGGCACAGAGTAAGTGCTCAGTTTCCTGTGCTTAGCTTTTATAACCGCAAAGAAAGCAGATTTAGGAAGTATCTTGTTAGTTGCCATCAAGTCGGCTCTGACTCATGAAGACCCTTTGTACAACAGAACAAAATAGTGCCCAATTCTGCATCATCCTCAAAATTGCCGCCCTGTTCATTGTTGCCACTACTGTGCCAATCCATTTCACTGTGGATCTACCTCGCCCTCCTTGGCCCTCTACTTCACCAAACACGATGCTCTCCTCCAGCGACTGATCCCTTCTGGTGACATGTCCACAGCAAGCAAGCCAGACAACGTTCTCATCTGCTCCATGGGTTGTCATCGGCTGATTTTCAGAAGTAGTTCTCCAGGCCTTTCTTCCTAGTCTATCTTAGTCTGGAAGCTCCCCTGAAACCTGTCCACTGTGGGTGACCCTGCTAATATTTGAAATACCAGTGGCATAGCTTCCAGTATCACAGCAACACACGAGCCACTTCAGTACGACAAACTGACAGACGGGTGGTGGTTAGAATGAATGTAGCCATTTTAAAGTGATGGCCACCGAGTTGACACAGTCTACCAAGTGGAAATCATTGGCTGCAATGCACCACTTTCTTCATTTGAATTAATCAGAATAAGACATTCTCAAAGAGTGGAGTGTACCTAAGTCCTGTCTGAG